GTAAATATATGTTACTGTTTGTATATGCGCGTATGAGTAAACGTAAGCACAACCTGAGTACCTTAATGCGAAAATAAGATTTGAGAGAGCACTACTGAAGCGCATTAAGAAGTTATTTTAAAGATGTTTGCATGTGATTTAAGGCTTTATGCACTGCTTTTACGAGGAAAACCTTGAAGGGTTATGTGTGCCTAGATCAGACTTTTTTGCTTGTTGCCGGGGTTTGTTGGAAAGGAGGTAGGTGAACTGCCATTTCAGAAGACAGACACTGAGAGAGCAGTTTTATTCGTTTAACCTTAGCGGTTAAGTACGAAGAACATTTAATAATTAAAGTTGAAAATTTTGAAAAGATAGAAGAAACCAAGGTGAGCTTTCATTATAAGGGGGGCGGGGGCGGACGTTGAAGCTGTGTGGGTGTGATTGCACGATACTAGTATTGGTTAAAGAGACCAAGGGTAAAGCGTATACGCTTCTGGACTCAGCCAATTTCTTATGACCGAGTGACATTTTCACTAGTAAATCTAACCGAAATTTGTCTCGATGACATAACCGATCGACAAATGCTTTCGAAGGGTTCACGCAGTGGCCGCTCCCGATTAAGTGTCATACGATGACCGAGTTGAGTCAACCTTGTACAGTTTGATTATATGAGTCAGTCTGCGTCACTGAATTACCGACACATGGTAGAATGTGTCTGTACATGTGAGCTCCTTTTGTGCGGTTTATCGTTACATATTTTGTTGCGGCTGCCAGAAAAGCCTAGGTTCGGTTGAAGACTAAGTAGCGATCTTTGAAGGTGAAGTGTGGGAGTTTCTGTTTTTCACCGAATGAAACCGCAGTACTGTAGGTTCGGTCTAGGGCATTTGTGGTACCTTATGCGATAAGTGACTTTTCCAACTTATCTTTTATATGAAGATGATATAAATTATGGCCCCAAATGTGCAATTATTTTAGTCTGGTATTTGTCTGATTGAGAGAATGGATAAATGCGTCATGATACCCATTCGTACCTAATCTCTTTCTCGTCCAATAGGACGGTGTTTGATATTTGTGAAGCCAATAAGCCGATAGCACTGTCTATATCAAGTTTTCGAATGTAATACAGGTCACTGAATAAAAGTGTAGTGCCTTTCGATGCACAAATTATCACTGAGCTTTATCAAGACCTCCCTATTCGTTTATTAGAAGAATTTCAATTAAAGGGGTATATTGCAATAATTCATATGGTGTTTGACGAAAACATACGGGGAATATCCATGGTGACATATTTTCTGTCTAGTGCTTTCAACTGCACATACATAACCCATCATTCTTCAATGAGATGCTGTATCAAGTTACTTCATTTAGAATAGAAGTTGTAAAATTACCGAGCTCATGGTTATGGATGATTTTTATTAGACGTAGCTCATTTATCTGAATGCTTTGGCAATCACGAGGAGAAAATGAGAGTAATCATTCACCCGTGTTGATCGTCCCCGTGACAATGTTACCCACTATGAGACGTATGATACGGGATTACTAGCACTAGAGGAGAACAGTTTCGTACCGGCAATTTTCATGCATCTGGCCCTATTTGAATTTCATTCTGGTTTATTTAAGTGGTGTTCGCTTTGCATGTAAACTCGCGCAAGCGCGCATAATCTATCTATGAAGAAAGGTGTTCACGAATGAAAAAGGATGTTGGTTTGAGCTGGTGACCATCTCTTTGTTTCGATCAATGTGAATGTCGATTGGTAGAGTCAGGAATTTCATTTGTGTGTGGAATTACTGCCAAACATTTGGAGTGGCTTTGCACTTGATTATTTGGAGTCTTTCTGTTGCTTTTGCACGATTGACTTCTTCATGTTGATTGGCATGTCTATCATAGATTGACAGGATAAATGCGTGATGTCATAAACCACATACGAGTCTGAAACTGATGTACATGACACGTATGTAAGAACTGAGAATGTTCACGTTCAGCTGCCCCCTCGAAGTTCAGTGACTAATTCGTCAATAAAGGGCAGTTGTGGTGATCTAGGTTTGCAATAATATATCACCTCACTGGATTAGGGAACGCCCTTACGAGTCACTTTCTCCCTTGCTAATACAAATTATTCTGTATAAAAAACGATAACTGTATATATATTTTTGCGTTAGGTAGGGAATGTGTTTTTAAATGTGTTTTTAACGCACGTTTGTGTTTTGCTTAGATAACAGTTTTGAAAGCTGTAGCTTTATGGTTCTCACGTGGGTTTATTACGCATCAATTTTCCTAACGTCGGGCAGCACCGTGCAACAGTCGTCATTCTTCTTCTAAGTTAGTATTAGCGCATTGGTTTAGTCGCTGTCATCGGCGTGCTTTGGACCCTATGGTACGTGGTTTGAACCCCGCCACCGCCGCCCAAATTTGTTGGTAGGCAGGTTTGCTGTACTCTGATTCATTACCATGCCTAACCTGTCGGAACCTTATGTGGTTCACCACTCCAAGCCCCGAGGCTTGAGTTGCCGGCTTTGGTTTCTAAACATCAGGTTCTCATGATTATGGACCTTTCCCCGTCTGCAGTATTTAGACAGTTCCACAGATTTGTTGAATACATTTAAGTCGGTTAGTCATTTGTTGATCGATGCGATTATACTGATACCCAGGTAATGTTTCTGTTTCCTATTAGCATTGTTTTGCTCTTTCTCCTTGACCTGGTATGCTATGGTACAGTCTTCTTACCACCGATTGACATTATGGTTCCCTCATAATCGAAGTAAGCATCAGTTGTTGTGTGAAACGTCTTCTCATGAATCATTTTGAAGGTTCTACGGGGAATAAACTGATTTCGCTACCAACGCGGATAGGTTTCACTCGATCCATGTATTTCGTACATGTGCCATTTCCCATCCAGGAGGGATCTACCGTGGTGCAGTGACATTCGTTGGAGTGCCTGCCAAAATGTTTGGATCAGTTCTTTTTCATGATACGGAGGTATAGCTGTTTCGCTTGGAAGATAAACATACTGTGTCAGTGTTGGCTGTGCAAGGACAACTGTTGGTTGAGGCCGGTGAGTCAACCAAATGTTCATTACAGAATAGACCGAAAGGGAGTATAATCAGACATCTTGCTTACATAACAGCTCAAATGCCGGGATTTCAGTAGGTGGATCCAGTATTACATGTGTCACAAGAGTAGGTTTCTCGGTGCACGATCTTTACACCCATGGGTAGTGGTTGGCAGAACGTCGAAAGTGGACCTACTATGATGACCCGACGAAGAATAATGAACACCATGGCCAGATAACTTAATCATGCATTCCGTATTATCCTTTTGCTTTACTCATTCTATGCAAGTTAGTCCTTCTGTACTTTCTTGCAGGTTTCTTCTAATGCGGACTAAATATATTGTCAAAGAGAATGAAGGAAACTCAATGCGTTGTATGATTGTCTCAGATGAAACACCAAACATGCGGTGTAGAATTCACCAGGACTCTACAGGCTTCAGCTGCATTGCCAGCGATCAGTACAGTTTACTCAGATTAACGTGAAAAAGTAAACTGAAGGGTGTATTATGTGGATTGGTTTTTGCGACAGCTCCAACGAGCAACACAATACAATCAGTTTCACCACCAAACGAGGTGACATTTTGCTTGAGAAAAGTGGGCAAGCGATCACGATCGTCCGTTCGCCAGGTCCGTGAGTGGTTTAGAGATTGGCTCTCCGCTGGCTGATTGGCTGATTTGTATTGGTCCCATACCGATGGAAAATAGATTGTGCTCAAATAGTCTGGCGGTTTGTATTTGATCGAAAGGTCTTTATGTTTTCCAGGACTTTGTACTTGTCCCAACGACATCATAAAATGCTAAGTCGTTATTTGTTTTGTTTCCACTTCCTCATCCGCACTGAACTTGTGAATGACAGGTTTCTCAAACCTGTAGGCTAAGATTCTGCTGATAAACAAAACAATAATTCGGAAGGAATAAGGTGCTGGGAATTGATAATTTGTCATGAGCTCTATACCTTAGGATAATGTTCATATTGATCGGCTTTGATGGTAGATCAATCAACAAACTGATTCGGTTTCCTGTGAAGCAATTATATATTCGGCAGTTTGTTTCCCTGTCTACGTCTATAGACAACATGTCACGTGTTTTAGGAGTAGTGAACGTATCGGTATCTCGCTTGCGTCATTCCGCTCACGCACTCAATGGTTTTCTGTCGCAGCTGGGTGCCGAACACATTTCACTAATTTTGATCGTGGTAGTGTTATCATAGGATATTCATCAATCAATTAGATGGAGTTGAGAGAAATAGTTAAATTAGATCCCAGAGTGTGTTGCCCCATTTATTTTTCGATATTTAACTGAGAATTTTTGAAGTGGTTTGTAATGGACACTACAAAATATATATGACGATTAGTGAACACGAGTATTTTTGACTATGGGTCCGAAAGAGCGAGGAACCCGTTGGTTTTTTGAACATCATTATCGTATTTTAAATCATTTGATTGTAACTGGCCAATGTGGATGATCTCAATTTACCTTGTTTCCGTTAAACGACGATTTTATGAAAAAAGAACAGGAAGTGGATAATTTCCTCGCTATGGTTTAGTAATCAGGCGTAACTGACTTTGCTGCTCAAGCGATTGAGACCGGCTGAATTGCTTCCAACTAACAATTTAACTAATCATCTCAGAAGCAGATATCATTCCATGTTTTCTGACAAATTCCAGAGAAATTCGGCAAGATAGGGTTAGTTCATTTACCAAACTTTCCTATTCACATCTTGTTGTGTTCAGAGTGGGCGGCCAATTGGGAAATATCAAAATAGGCGGTGTTTTTTCGGATTTGTTTTGGCAGGGCAAACGTCATATGAATACGTGAGTGGCATGAATGAAATCGAATACTTCATGAATTTTGATTGGTCACAATTGAAACTCCAATATATCTGAACAAAACATCATAGTCAACTTGACTATTTCCAGTCAATCTACATAATAAGATGGATGTGAGCAAACAAGATCAGAGGACACCTACTGTCTATGCCGGAGGAAATCGAGATACGACCAAGTATCTCCTTGGTTTTGCTCATGATATGCAATTCTACCACAGATAAATTGTTATGACTCTCTGTCTCTAGTCCAATAACCTAAAAGATATTGATAGGAAAGTGTGAAAAAATTGTAGCGCTGGCCAGTTGACTGGGATTTACCAATGACAGCAAACTAAAACCAGTCTGTGCATCATTTGGAATTTCATACAGCACACGACATTAGCCTATTGCCCTCAAAAATCATTCGCTTACCTTTGCGAATTTCCAGTGAATGCAGTTACAAAGATACAACAAAAATAGTTACCCTCACTTCGTTTACACCTGCTAAATAAAAAGAGTCAACACTTGTTTTGACCGGCTTTAAAAGGAGGTCTATACGTTTGCCGTCATAGTATGAACAAATACACACATTTGATCATCATTAGGAAATGCAAGAGAAGAGATGTTTTAATTTATGAAAACATTGTATAGCTACCTAAAAAGAGATACCGTAGACACGGTATTGGAGTTACTGAAAGTTTTTCCACCCTACTATGGGAAAGTTCAACGGCATTTACATGAATATATATGTCATGAACTATAATCTTGATAATATATCGCATTCGCTGCTTCAATACATGTGTGTTGAACACCAAAAGACACATCATGCATGGTGCTACAAGCAAATGTGCTGCGAATGTGAAAGAAAAGAAACAGTATTTTTTTGTTGTTTGATTACACTCGACTCTCGGAAATGTGCTCTTTTTACCGATGTTTCGACCCGTAGAGAACATTGGAACGAAATCAACGGTTTTTCAAATTACTGTGCAAAGCATCCGACAAGCGTCTGAACCCAATCTACGGTTGCAATTGAAAATTGTAGACACTGTTTTCAGTGGATCGTTTTCAGTTAGGGACGGGTTAAACACAATTATAGGCGCTTACTTCATTCATTTATGAGACACACTGTCCGGTGATCAAAGGTGAATAGCATGAAAATTAGAGATGATAATATGTAGCTTCTGATTGATGGATACTGTCACTTCAGCCGCGGGTAAAACGTAACATCCCCTCACTGGTATTGGCTAATCTGTCTCAAACAAGTGAGTGAAAATTTACACATAAAGCCCATTGAAGGGGTAAACAAATCTAATTTCCTGAGTAGTTTTATGGGTTCCATTTATGCTACTACTGCTGCTACTATTGTGAGGTACTACACACTTGTGAGTTGTAGATGATTACTTTCGACGATGAAAAATTAAGAAGACCACTAAGGGAAATTGCTGCATCTCAGAGAATAACTATCGATTGCCACATTTATTAAACGTCGTGCGGCCAGGAACTGCGACGGTATGTTTCTAAGGAGATTTTCCGTGTTATGTATGTCAAATTTCCGATATCCCATCTGTTATCCTCAATATCTTCGACCGGCGCCGCCTTCTTGAATTACAACACTATTACTACTACTACTACTACTACTACTACTACTACTACTACAGTTGCTACTGCTGCCGCTTCTACACCAACTTCTATTGTTAATACTGGCACTGCAACTACTGTTGCCATTGGTTTCTTCAAACACCGCTTCATTCTCCACCGCTACTGCTATTTCCACGGGACGAGGAAAGTTATTCCTTTAAATAAACGCATCCGATAAAGGTAAATAAGGTTACGTCGAACTAAACATCAAATTTGGTTAGTATATTCGTGACTGTCTATTCATCGGTGAGTGACCGCTTGGTAATCAGGTAGGTCTGTGTTGCAGTTGCAACAGTAAATCCTTTGGCCCACCTGCGGGTACCGAGGGAATCGAACAATATGATGTGAGTAGTACATACAAACCTACTACAGTACTCATTTTACTACTACTAACACTTATTAGTTACGTAGTACGGTTTAACATGCAGCCGTGGATGTGAACACCGATTTATGCATGAACCACCTGCCTTGACGGATGGATAACAAAGATGTGATGGTCCGCATAATCTATTAGTTTGGTTGCTTATTCCTTTAATTCGTAGTTTACCATTAAGATAAATCCAGTTATTCTTGAACTCTCAGTATTAACTTCAACCTGTCGGCATAATGCAATCTTCAATTGTGGGGGAAGTATTTCAGCCACTATAATATGAATGCGTTTTGAACAGTATTCGATCAACCATTCACTCAGTTGGCATGATGATCGACATTTGTACTATTCTCAGTTCACTCATGGTGTGCACTCAATGGTACAACGTGAGTGTTGACTACGTACATTGAAGGTGTGTTTGTGTGTTACGTAGGAAAATGAGGATTTTATGTGAAGAAATTTATAATAAGCAATAGGGATAAGCTAAATAAGTCGTGCTGCAACAACGTGGTAGGAGGTGAGGACGGGGAGAATTATTATGCAACACCACTCAGATATCAATCCCCCACCTCAAAGTAATGCTCATTAGCTAAACAGAGCAAATGTCATTAATTCTGCTTATTGTTGTATGAGAAAGATCGAGTAGTACAACCGCTAGAACACCGGGTGACATCAGCATGAAAATACACTGGTTGGAGTAGACGTTTCACTGAGGGAACGCTTTCTCGGATTTAAACTGATGCTAATGTATCACTACTATCAATTGGCACATAGCGTATTCCAATACGTGCACTTTTCGAAAACAGCCAACAGACTATTTCGTCCGAGCTGTCCATAAATGATCAATACACAGATTTTCGTAACTCGTGCCTCAAATGTCGTAAAATGATGAGATTGGTGAATGCATTGCAAATCAAATGGGGTTTACGTCAAGTATTTCCGGTCATTTAATCACCCAGTCATTCGACCTCAATTGGACACCTCGTGAGGACAAGAGAACGAATGTTGCACGAATTACTCAAGAAAAACCGGTAAAACTCAATCCGAACACAGGCCAATGAGAAAATTTTCTTGATAAATCCAGCAAATTTATAAACTGATCGTACTACCGTGTACTTTGATTAGTATAATCAAACTGGTACAGTGCTCCCAATATCGAGTTCTCCAATTTGAGGGTGTTACGTACTATGAGTATTAGTTGGGGTGCATATATGATAGTTCATTAAAAATAACCCTTCACTATGTCGGCTTTCGGAAATCTAGGGTGTAAATATTACTTCTCCCGACCAGTTTGCTGCAATCTCGCCGCTTTTAATTGTGACAGTTTGGATAGTTGGCCTTGTTTTCTTCAAAACCGCCCACTGGGCTACCTTTTTTTTGAGAGTCAAAGTAAATTCACAAAGCATGCTTAATTATTCACTTTTAGGTATGAGTCAATGACTGTTCACCTCATCAATGTTTGGTGTATACTTCGTCAACAGTTTGACAAACAAAATATTGATCACTTATCCGTTTGACAGTCATATATTTTATTTATTTGAAGTATCGACTCCAAGTCTGCACCTCATCACTGTGTCGATCTGACCCTTGGTCAATCTCAGTGATAAGAATCGATGATCCAATCAACAATAAAATGTGGGCTGATAGTGCGAACTCATTTCATTATGCATTGCGCTCAGATTTCTGCCTTCCATTGTCATAAGGTACCATATGATTGCTCACGTGCCGAAAAAAGCGCTACAGAAGTGAAGTGGGAGACACTGTGAGCGATTGGTTTGGTTCGAGTGCTCGGCAAAATGCATTTATCATGTCATGTGCCTACGAGATAATCATGCACGAATACGAAACTGCATAGTTGTCAAAACCGTCGACTATAATGAATACACCTTTCGGAGGTATAGAGCACGGTAAAAACAGTGACAAACAAACAGAACAAGACAAATATTGTGAATCACCAAGGCGTCTGAAAGCGACTGTGTTTGAACTCGATACGGGGTTTTCTCAAGAAGTTTAATCGGAGTCTCAGATCAATATGAGTAGACACACATTTGAGAGCTATCTGCACTTGTTATCAGTTGGTTTCAGTCTTTGTGTAAACGGGTCATATGACTTCTGTCTGAATTCCACCATCATTCTTATCTTCCTCACATATATTTTTTCTCATCAACCGCTCTTTGATGAAGCGTATCGCAGTTGCCGGATTGTGTTTCCACTCTTACTTTCTGAAAAAAGGACATGAAAGGGATGTTACAACTTTGAGGGTGACAAAGAGCTTCAAACTTTTCCTAAGATGACTTCTTCAACAACTGGGATTCTACCTTTGTTATTATCCTATCAGCTACTGTGTTATTTGCATGATTCGAATTTTAGTGCAATGGTACAGGGGCTTCAGTTACATCACGAACTTTGGTCCAACATACCACCTACAATTGCTTATCCATTGACTATTTCAGAAAAAAAGGAGGAATGATACTGCAATTTTACCAGGTTTATTGCATTAGGTGTTATGCGCACGAAAGAAGAAATTATAATACCAATAGGACTGGAGGGGAGCAAAGTGCTACTTTACTCGTTTCATATGAGCCCATAACAGTGACCGAAGATGGTGTGGAGAGTCTGATTACTTCAGGTGTCAGTAAATGGTTGTGTATAGTCCATTAGAGCAGAGACTGGTTCAGTAGAGGTGGAAGTGATTCAGGTAAGACGAGATGGGGGCGCGGGCACAAGCGGATCTTGGCTTGGGTAGAAAATAGAAAGAGGAACAAATTTGTACATGTGCTGGGAGGGAAAATCCTGCACGAAATCCTGCACGGTAATGTAAACTGGAGGTGACACATAGACTGATGCTAAAAGTTCAAATGAAATAAAAAGGCGATCGTGAAAATAACGTCGAATATTCGGAGACAATCAGTCAAGTGGTATAAATGAACGTTCTACCTAGGGCAGTCGTTCCCTGGCATGCAAGATGGAGCGCACTGTATGATACATTTTGCCAACTTGTATGCACAAAACGGTTACCTCTGCCTTCTTTATCGATAATAGGATGTACGATATTGGGTAGTAGGACTTTCTGAATCCCAACTGGAACGATTTACTGTCGGACGTGAACGGGACACATACATATAAACGGGTCCATTATCCATTATCTGCGGTCCGTTCACATTGTCCGATCGCAAGTAGGTTACGTCATCTGCAGGCATGTAACTCTTTTGAGCAGGGATGTAAGTCGTCGACTGGCGGATAGATGGCGCCCGGTACGTTTCGTAACGTGGCTCGACACTCGGGGCCCGACTGACACGCCTACGATAGACAACCATCGGAGAACGTTGTGCATCCATTGTTGAGTAATATTGAGGTCCATAAGTTGAGTATTGAGGCAAATAAGTGGTAGAACGAGGTCGTGAAATTCTACTGTAAGGTCTTCGTTCCACATAATATTCCGAACTCTCTGTGGAAGAAGTGTAGGAAGTACGCCTACTGTGAGTACCATCACCATCGAGAATCTTCTTTCGGTCTGTCCCTGCCGCGTAAATCAGCTCCTTTACACGTTGAACATCCTGTGGACTGTTGCACCGATAAGTTTCATAACTCTTGCGACCTTTTTTATCTTTCACGTACAGCATAAAAGTGTCCGGACGATCTGGCGGTTCATAGAAATGTTCTATATCTCGATAGGGTAAGTACTGATGATATCCTTTCTTGGTAAATCGCATTCTATCAACCAGAAACATTACCGGGGCCTTTTTCTTGTCTTTTTTCAAATGTTTGGGCAGTTCAGCTTGTGCAGTATACTGATTAAAAGGTCCGCCATTCTTCACCTTGGTTCGACCTTGCTGGGCGATTGGAATTTCTTGATTGATCACTTGACCACTTTTCTTGTCCACGGCCCCTTCAACCGGTCTGGCCAATTCGTCTTGTATGGTAGTCATGGTTCTGACACAAAGAACTTCAAGTTCCGTATAATTACGACTGTAATCAGAACCAGCACCTTTCTCGTCTTAATCTGTCGGTTTTCGCTCAGAAAACGCAAGGTCAGTAGTTTTTATTGTTCAGACTCAAGTTAATATCCATCCCGCAATCAAAGCTGGCCCAGCGATAGACATGCATCTATGGTGCGCACTCATTCAATTCCGTGTCATCTGGGTACATAATTGTGTGTGTGTGTGTGCATGTGTGCATGCCCTCACGTAACTTGCTGCAAGTGAACAGAGCGTGGGTTGCCTCGACGATTGGATACGTGGATATGAATGCGTTCAATTGCACTGTGCATTGCGTCTGTACGAATTATTTGACGCGTTGCGATGACATATGAGAGTAGTTGCAAACTGATGCATTGTCACCTCGTAGACAAATGCTCCCGAATGATCAATGACACTCAGATTCAGCTCATGTCATCAGGTTGTGTGGGCGTCGCGCAGTGTGCGTGTGTTTCAGAGCGAACGTCAGTCTTCCGCATGTAACAAACCGGCATGGTAGTCACCAAACTCCACAGGTTTCAGTCAGATTTCCTGGGGACTAGATCAGCTGGTTATATTTATGTTTGTATTAGGAATTTCCCTGTCAACTTTGAATTTATCGTAAATGCCACTTGTGATGTTTATATAGTCTGATCACATAGTGTTATTGCGAACCAAGGGATTTATCCAGTGAAATTGAGGTCTACGTTTTATATGACTTGTGGTTATGAATTATTAGGCCCTGAAAGACACTCGCGAAGTTCACCCAGACAGGATACAATAAGCAAAAGAAGACAGACGTATTATGATTGAGGTCACTTGAAGGTTTCTATATAGCTCTGTTTTTCTTTCAGATTTAACTGTCTGACTGTTTGGATAATTGTGGGTCAATCAATCATTTTATCATGTTCTATCAACAACTAATACTTGTTACGTGGAAGCGCAAGACAAAACTGAGAAATATCACAATTAAAGGCGCATTTAGTGAAGAAAAAAGGATGTAATGTTGCAAGGATGACCGAGAGGCAGAAAATATCTCGTCGATTTAATCAAGAAATACAAAAGCGATTTCAGAGAATAAGTCAGAGACCTTTTAAGTGAAATCAGCGACCGAAAATGTCGCATCTCTGATGAATTTATCGGTTTCGACATGCCACCTGAAGAGGATAAATGGGAATAGCCAACGACGTGCGCGAAAGAAACAAAATACCATAAAGTATCTGATTGTCAACTCTTGAGGTTTTTCTACCATCGATAAGCGTCTCAGATGTTGCGGTGAATCATGATCGCTGTTCCTATGAAGGTCGCTTTCAAAGACACTAATGAGAAGAATTCCATTTCGCCTGTTCGCCGAACTTGGCCATTTGTTTGCAATCACCAGCCAGCTGATGAAACACACACCACAAGATCTAACTTATTGGAAGTGAGCGACACACTGGTCAACTGTCAACATCTATTTACTTTGCATTAGGCCTATGGTGAAGTCATGTGTAGATATATACATATATATGTAAATACATATACATAGTACTGGCCGATTGTGATGCACTGAAGTAATTTCTTTTTGATCAAATTCGGTTTCATTAAATTTATCACCGGTAAAAATGCTTCAGGTATGAACAATAAATTAGCTCTTGTCTAGTTCGATCTACATCGTCTCCAGGCTGCACGGTTGTCAGGTAAACGTGTCTGAACTTGGTTACCAAAATTAAATAATCTCAACATTAAAATCACAAATTTATCAAGTAGCAAAACGCAATATATTCTAATAGGAGTGACCCAAGAATTATCCCAAATTGTTTCCATAAACCCTTTTAATCTCGAAACATAGTTATGAGGCATTGTTCTATATAATAAATAATCTATTACAGCAACTGTATTGAATAGCCAAATGAAATTATTTCACAACCCGCATAAATTGCATTGAATAAGATATCATAATAATAATCTATGTTTGACAGCTAACTCTTGAAAACGAGAAATATCATTCTCATCAAAGTAAAGCTTGAAATCAACTTTACATCTTGATTATTATCAGTATTAATTTATTGTAAATAAAATTGTTTTTTTCTCCTCTATGTCCAGGTCAATCAATACTGACGAAATGGGAGTATCCGCTACACTCTGAACCATTCCATCTGTTGTGTATAAAGGAATCAAGAAAATCACTGCTATAAAGATTCACCAAGGTTTGTTAACTATTATTTGAAAAAATGTACTTCAGTATGAATGCCGTTGCCTATACGAACCCACAAGTGTTTCACAGGGACCCGTTGGTTCAATTTCGATTAAACCTATAGAACTATAGATGATCACAACAAATTGATTAAGCTATTGGCAGCGTCGTTTGACCTTCACCGGTGAATATCTTTATGAAAAGCATTGAGAACAAACTATACGATGCTTTCACCGAAACACAACTATACAGAAGATATATTGACGATATTCTTGCAACCAACCACTCTGAACTTAACTCCGTCAAAACCCGTGCTGTACACCGAAACATAAGGCTCTCCACTGAGAACAAACGTAGGAACAGTCAAGCATTTCTGGATTTACTAACATGTCATTATCAAAACTAGCGTGCGTGGATGCATGTTCGGGTTAGGACCAACTTTTTAACGCTGAGTTGCAAATCTGGCTTGATGAGGACAATGTACCATGGGGCTTTTTGTCGGTGCCCACCCGACACGCCAATAGACAATATAGATCTACTAAACAACGGTTTTCAGTCCAATGGCTACCCAAAAGCGTTTGGAACAAGACATCGTACTGTTGACGCACCAGAAAACTGAGAATATCTTCCCCTAAATGTGAGTTATTTTGCAACTACCATTCAAGAGTGATGATACAGCCTTGTTGTTTTCATGCTGCCTCACATCGGTAATTAAACAGAAATACAATGCCTCCCTTCCCGTTCTAGTTTACACATGCCAACGTAGTTCTATCTTGCTAGCCAGACAGCCGTAACTGGTTCATGACAAATCAAACGCATACACTTTCAAATGTGGGTCTCGGGCCAGCAACCTAGGACGAGTTGAATGGTAGCTTCCAATGAAACTGGCGGAACATGCTCCATGGTTGCTGGGCACTTACAACCAATAAGAAAGAGGTTAAAGGTCACCGAAGAGTCAGCTATCAGCCTCTTCTATCGCACCCCATTGGATTGATACGAAGTATCAATTCGGTCGATCTACTGCGTTCTTGATAATCCTATCCCAGGTTTATTGGCTTTAACTGCAGCTTGATGAGCAACTGCGATTCAGAGATGGAAGCCTAATTTGTTTAAACAAAAGAAGATAATGATTACTTAAACTTGTCTGGGTGAAAACAGTAACCATTGTGAACAAATTGTCGGTATCTTATAAATTCAGTAAGATCGTTTATATTGTATAATTTATAGTATACCCTTGATGAGATCCAGTGAAATTTAATTGGATATGGTTTATGCAACATAAACCTGCTGTAGTCTCTGTTCATGACCCAACTATTGCAAACTGCAGATTAACGAGTTATGAGAACATGATCCACGTACAAGAGCCAACGGTTCAAACAAAGCAGCCATTCATCACTTATGACAAAGTTGTATTGACGAACACAGTAAGCTTTTCCATGTAACCAATTAAAAGGATCAACTCACACGATATGGTCTTTGACAATCTTATTCACTGCAGACACCTGTCAAAAATTCACTCGCATATGGTCAGGTTTACACACATACATTGGCTCCCATAATCAAAAATATCAGAGCTCTCAAGTCCCTTGAAATACGAGACATGTACCGCAAGAAGACAGAGATTTCATCGGCGTATTCATTTTACTTCTTTCTGGTTGAAACAGACAAATTTCATCTAAGAATACACGCATTTACTCCTTATGGACGAAGTCTCCATTGAACACAATGACGTGGGATTTAATTTATCTGATAAAATTTAAAATTTCCCGTTCTGGCGTGCACTTCACAATTATCACTTTCAGGTTCAGCTTTAATTAATCAATGTCCACTACCACTCACAATTTAGTGGTTCTCTGAGATAGACAGGAATCGACGTTTCCGCATGAATCATCAGTTGTGGTTTAAAAATCGGAGTAAGGATTCCGAAGGCTACTACACATCGACGGTTGTGCTACAGTCTACTTGAGTGTCTGACACAGTGTTATCTATCGCTCATAGGACTAGTGCAGCAAGAGACATATGTGAAACAAGGGATCTATTCGCACTCCACCGTTCGTTGGCCACTTTTCCAATTGTAGCCGTTGAAACACATCAATCAAATAATATTCAAAGTCTGACACTTGTCTCAAGATTTGTACATTCGAGAAAACTGAAATCGATTGAACTCTATCTTATTCTATGTGACTTTAGACTAGACAGGATAGACACTGTGCTCAGTTTGATTCGAAATCGATGCACATTAACAACGTCCAACGAGGTCATGTATACACGATCGATGTTTATTGCGGATAGTTCCGTCTTGGGGCGTATCAACTTATCAAAGAAAATAGAGTACTCCGGGCATCGATCGATTAAGTCACACATGTCATACTGCCTGTGTTTAGTACACGATAGAAGGATAGCAAAACAAATCAAATACGTGTTGTGAAACTTAAATGAATTTTCCGAAACGTGAACATCTATTTCGGCAGAAATGTGTGAAAGAAGTAATCTTTAAATATACGGAAAAAGTGGTGGTGATTAATCACTTTTATCTGAGGTATACACCAGTGACAGCACTAGACCGATTTTCAATAAAATCAGACAGATAGAATTAGTTTGTCATTCCTATCGCATACAAACACACATTTTGTCATTCGTGCATCCACTCAGCTCCCAAAGACACGGTTCTGGTGTGTATTGATTTTACCTTGGGTGTTTCAGAACGACGCACGATTGACGTTGAAGCCTGTTCATCGTCTGGTTTGAGACTAATTGAGCTCTACCACAACCCCACTGATCTCAGATAAAAAAGATA